ATGATGAGGGCAATGAATGTACAAATGCGCTTTACACAATTGATGTGTGTATGGATTGTGATAAGAGTTGTATGAGCCCCTAATAAAATGATTTTAAATAAATAAATAAATAAATAATGTATGCTGAACATTTTCTATATGCTCTCAGATACAAATAACAATGAAGCACATATGCCACTGAGAATTTGGATAGATCAGAAAGCCTCAAACTACTACACAAAGTTCCTGCTTACATGAACAAAACAGTGTTGATGATTCGGACAGGAATATTTAAAGATAAGTGGTATTTCAAATACCTCAACATGTGGCCTGAAATTGTACTGTAATATTAAATGAACATTTTTGTGGAGTATTTATGTTTAAGGACACACAAAGTTTCACAAATAATCTCAAAGACAAAAAATTTTAGAGAATCAGTTCTGTATTCTAAAAATAAAAGGTGCTAAGGAAGGCAAAAGATGGCAACAGAGGGTAGTCATATTAGGACAGGAACATTAGGGACTCAGTATGCTGGGTATTTTACACTAAGTAAGAGTGGCAAAAATGAAGGATGAGTGAAGATAAAAAAATGTTTAATTCACAGGGGAGACCAAAAGACTATAATTTCAGAATCATGTAATTAGAAGTACATTCCTACAAAAGAAAACATTCATCTCTAAGCAGTTCACTATCATTCCAAGTCTAAAACGCAGGCTATGAATTCAAATGGCTTTGTGGAACCTCAGGTCAAGTTAAACCAATTGCTTCATCTGCAAAGTAGGGATTAAAGTGTAATCTCAGAGATATAAAGAATACATGAGAATTTATGTAATTACGAGCATACTTATTATGGTCAATATGATTAGTTCCATTTAATTTTAGATTCCACCTTTTATGGAGCCAGGTGATTTTTCAAAAACAAGATAACAGCAAAAAAAACTTGAGAAGACCCAAATCGAGCATTTATCAACAGAAAACACGTACCTTAAAAACTTTGTATAATTGAGGAAGTTTTTTCTCCACTTCTGTAGTAACTTCTTTCCCTTCTTCTCCAGTCATACGACTTAGAAGCAGAAAGTTTATGCAAACATGTCAAAATATGTTATCATCAGACCTTAATATACCTGTAGTATAAAGCTCTTGCAAATGAATTAACTTTAATTTATCCAGTTATATTAAAGTCACCCAACTACACTTACTGTCACTGAGTAGATTCAGACTCATACTGACTCTAATGGGCAGAATAGCCCCTTTGGGTATTAAGAGGCTTCAAATCCTTACAGGAATAGAGAAACCTCATCTTTCTCCCAGGGAACAGCAGGTGAATTCAAACCGCTGACACTGAGGTTAGCAGCTCCATGTACAACCCAGTACAACACAAGGGCTCCTCATGGTTATAGTATAGGACAAGACACAGCTAAAGTAAATGCGAAGACCAAAACACTCTAGAAATATTTTTTTTTCCATCTAGGGAGCCCTGGTGGCATAGTGGTTACTCCTTGGGCTGTTTACCACAACGCCAACAGTTCAAAACCACCAGCTACAGTACCAGAAAAAGGATGAAGGCTTTCTACTGAAATGTAAGGAGAGCTTTGGAAATCCACAGGGAATCCTAAGAGGATTCACGAGTCTGAATCCACTTGATGGCAGCTGAGCATGGTTTCTGAGTTGGTTTACACAAGTTCATTGTGGGGATGCTGAACCTATGCCTCTTAAAATTCACTAAAACCCGCCAATTTTAGTAGAATCCAAAAAAATGTTAAAACCACTCAGAAAAACTTTTCTCATCTCGTATACCCCAATTGACAATTATCACTGGATGACTCCACCTATTCCTCATTACAAATTTACTAAACATCGACTAAACCTTGTAGTCGTGTATTTGTTGGCTTTTCCTGGTCGATTCAAAACTACTCGACAACTTTGCAGAATATGACTTGCGGGGGGGGGGGGGGGGGGGGGAACACTTGGAAGTAATTTCTCAAAGGAGATCAAAACCTGGTTATCGTTCTCCATTAAAAAGACATCTCTCGATTGCCAATGCAAGTGCCATTACCCTGAAAACCGCTCCTCGGCTAGAACCCACCACCACGAAGCAGAATGCTAACATCTTTCCGCCTCCCAGAGCGGCCCAGTGCTCCCCCCCCCCCCCCCCGCCCGCCCGCCGGCCGCAGCCCCAGGCAAGTCACCGAGCACGCACCTTACCCCGCCCCCAGACTTCTAGAACCGTCCTCAGGGCTACCACCCAGACTTTTGCAAGTCTTCAGAGCCTTGTGGAATACACAAACCCAGCCGACGCGTTCCCCGCCCCCACCAAAAAAATGAAAAACAATCGTAAGAAAACCCGCCACACGCGCGGGCCTCACCTGGCCAGAGTCAGGTAAGCGTCAGTTTGCTCCCCGTGGGCGGCCGAGGCGTCTTCCAAAGTCTCCAACAGCGGAGCGAGGGGGCTCGGGCCCGGGGCCGTCATGTCGGCCACCCTACACCCGGGCCGGAAGAGGAGAAAACCCAGTGACCCAGGGAACTGCCCCGCGGCGGCCCAACGCGAGTCCGGCCCCGGCCTGCGTGCTCGGCCCCGACCTCAGAGTGCCGCCACGTCCACACGCCGGGCTCTCCGCGCACCACCCCAGCCCCTGACCTCCGCCGCCGCGCCGCAGCACGCATTCGGGCTCCCGCCGCGCTCCGGGTCGCTCCCGCCACCACTTTCCCGGGCAGCTTTCAACAGGGGGAGGAGACCGGCGGGGGGCGGGAGATGCACCCGGAGCGCGGCGGCTCGCCGCGAGGGGGCGGCGGCTGCGCTCGCCCGAGGGCTGCGCCCGGTCCGGTATGGCCACCCCGATATTTATCCTCACGTAAGAAGTTCGAGACCGCGTTCCCTCTGCCGCAGCCCCGCGGCACCCAGCCCCGCGTCCAAACCTCGACTTTTCCTGCTTGAACTGTTTACTCACGCGTGCAGCCCACTCCCTCCAAGACCAAGATGGCGGCGGGGGCGGGTCCAGGAGCGCGCGGGAGTAGGGCAGGCCAGGCGGGAGAGGGCAGAGCCAATCCAACAGGCTTCGGCGCGCCGGAGTCATCGATCGCCCCGCTCCCCTTCCCGCCTCCCCAGGCACCTGGCCCATCCTGTGATCCCCCAGGTGGTGGGTGTTGAGCTTCAAGTTTTCACAAGGAGCTGTGTGAAACAATGCAAAGGAATCACCCAGGTTCATTCAATTTAGTGGGCCTTCAGGCTAATTCTGGTGGAAAGATGAGGCTTTCTCCCTCCTCTGGAGTTAACTATTCTACGCTGCCTCAGCTGCCCTACAGTGGCGCCAAGAGCCAGTTTGACTCCATGACATTGAGTTTGTTTTCAGATGAAGTCCAATGTTCAACTACTAGCAACTAATCATTTGCCAAAGGGATATAACATGCTTTTATGTTTAAGAAAACAGCCCTGGTGGCATAGTGGTTATGCTTTGGCTGCTAACCCAAGGTCATTAGTTCGAAACCACCAGCCTCTGCAGGACAAAGGCAGGCTTTCTTACTACTATAAAGAGTACAGCCTCAGTCGATTATGGCACATGTCTCAAAACTTACTGCTATTGAGTTGATGCTGACTAATAGCGACCCCCCCACCCCCCTCGTGGGCTTCGGAGACTATAACTGTCCCCAGGAGTAGAAAACCCAAGCTTTCTCCCACGGAGCTGCTACTGGTTTTGAACTAACAACCAAGTGGACCGCAGATCAACGTGTAAACCACACCACCAGAGCTCCATATGGCAGATGTTGTTAGGTCAAAACATAATATCTTATCATTTGATCTCCCTTTTGACCCATTTTAAAGCTGTTCCTGTTTTGATTTGTTTTAAGTGGAGGGGAATACACTTGGATTAAGCCCCTGATGAATCCTCTTCTGACCATGGACCAGGGCTGTGAATAGCTCTGCTATCAGGCAGCATGCATTGGAAAGTAGATTGTTACAGATGCAGTGAGGTTCAAATTCAGCATGCTATCATTTGATCTCTCCTATGGTCCATTTAAATTTGTTCTAGATTTCCATATTTTCTGCTTTCTTTTCTATTGAGGTTTTTCATCTATTTTACTTTGTTATTGTTGTTAGCTTTTGTTTTTTTCAGTATATGAAATTCAGGAAAATAAAATCTATAGAGAGAGTAACTGGATTCATGGTTCTTTGCGGGCATTGCGGGGAAGGTTGGGGGGAAATGGGGAGCTAATAAGGATGAGTACAAGAATGAAGAAAATGTTCTGAAACTTTGTGTTGGTGATTGTACAACTCTTCCTGATGTAATCGAATCATTGAACTGTATGATAAGTGAATTATATGCCAATAAAACAGTTGGGGGGAAAATTGCAATCTGGGAAACCCACAGGGACAGTTGGACCCTGTCTTATAGGGTTGCTGTGAGTTGGTATTGACTTAATGGCAATGAGTTAGGGATTTTTTTTGGTAGTGTTTAAGAGTCACTCGGTGACAATGGTTAAGCACCCTACTAGTGGCCATAAGGTTAGTTGTTCTAGGCCTCCTTAGAGGCTCCTCGCAAAACAGGCCTGGAGATCTAAGGAGCAGTTCAGCTGCACACAGGTAGCCCCTGTGATTCTGAATTAACTCAATGGCAACTAACAAATAACATGTCCAAGAATGAGAGCTTCACCTCAAGCAGGTGTAAGCTCTAAACTAACTGTGTGATATTAGCAAGCTTGTATATTTGCCTTAATTTCTACTTCTGTAAAATGGGGATAATGTTAGGACCTAGATAAAATGATAAGAGTGCCCGGATTTCGTCGTTGTGGTTACATACTGGGCTCCTAATCTCAAGGTGAGCAGTTCCAAACTACCAGTTGCTCTGCTGGAGAAAGACAGAGCTTTCTACTCTCATAGTTACAGTCTGAGAAATCCACCCGAGATAGTTCCACCTTGACCTACAGGATCACTGTGAGTCTGAATCAACTAGGTCGTAGTGAGGGTTTTTGTTTTTTGTTGCTTTTTTAAAGGTTATAGACAAGTTAGAAACCATAGGAGAGACCATTCATTCGTTCTCAACTTTTAAGTGTACATAACAATTGACCTGGGACTATTCTTCATTAAACTGCAGATTTCTGGGCCCCACCCTTAGACATTGTGATGCAGTAGACTTAAGTTGCTCCGGGAGATCTGCATTTTTCTTCTGTGGCCACTTCCAGACACTGACTTCAGATCTCCTTTACCTAGGGCCCCCACCCCACCCCCGCCCCCCAGCAGCTGCTATTACAGCTCTAGACGCCAGATATGCATTTTGTTCTCTGTGTCACCTGTGCCTAGTACAGTGTCTGCCAAAGGAAGCTCTCAATACATAATGCATTTTCATTGATGAATGACGGAAAGGAGAAAGAGGGAGAGGATGTTGTGCAAGTTCTTTCCAGCCAAGCTATGAATATTAAAGCCTAACGAATGGTTAAGAGTTATTTATGAGTGAAATGTGGAAAAATACAGCTATATGGGCAAATAAAGGTTTCCAGGGTAGCCGTCGGAGGGAAATTTGCTCTTGATTTCTGGCCATTGGGAAGTAATACAGATACTTAAAGAAGGAGAAGTTATTAGATTGAATAAAATGTGGGGATAAAGTTACGTTGGTATTTCAGTGTAGTGGAGCTGTAGTGTTGGAGAGAAAGAATACTGAGACCCTATTCATTTCTATGAAGGCTGTAACTGTTAGTGGAAAGAACATGGAGGATATCTCGAGACATCATTTTGTTCCTTACTCTGATTTATTCTTTTCTAGTACAAATCATTGCTTGACATTATGTATACTAGAGCAAATCAAAACATATTGTTACTAAATCATAGAAAGCCTTATTAAATAAAAATATCAAAATGTGAAACTATTGTTTCTCAATGTACATTCCATGTAGGTCCATGCAAGTATTTTTATTGTCTGCCTCTCTCCACGAAAATGTAAATTCTTTGAGGGTAGGAATTTTGTTTTATTGATTATTTTAATAATTTATCATTCTTAGAGAACAGATTGGACTGGCAACATTTTTTCCCTGTGGTTCTGGTAGCTTCCTAAAATGTTATATAGTATTGTCCCTTGTGAGCCTAAAATTCTGCCGTGCTTCTCATCGCGTAGAGGATGAATTTTTAAGCCCTTGGCATGACCTGGAAGCCAAGGAAAACCACTCCCCTGCTCACCCACCCTTCCCTGCAGGCCCTCTGACTTTTAGAGTCTTTAAAGGTCTCTTTCAGGGCTTGCAAAGTGCAGCTTGAGAGCCATGTGCGACTCTTTCAGAACGTGCGTGTGCCTCTGAAGTAAAGTTTTAAAGGATATTATTCAGATAATGGTGATTTCATTTGTTTGCAAGCATATATATGGGTCTTGAATGATTTTTAAGTTGTTGTGAGGGACAGGATTGGCTCCTCCAACTCAAAAGTTTGCTGAGTCCTGAGCTATGTCATTCAGTGTGTTTGGAGTGTAAATGCTCTTATTCAAAACAAAAACAAAAACACTGCCAAGGACAGGGTAGACCTGCCCTGATGGATTTCTGAGACTAACTCTTTACAGGAATAGAAAGTCTCATCTTTCTCCTGAGGAGTGGCTGGTAGGTTCAAACTGCTGAACTTATGATTAGCCTTCCAATGCTTAACTAAGTTTTTATAGGAGGCTTTCTGCTCCCATAAAGGTTTAAAGTCTCAGAAACCCAAAGGGGCAATTCTACCCTGTACCATAAGGCCACTGAGTGGGAACTGACTCAGGGCAGTGAATGTGTTTGTTTGCTTGTTATTTTGATGCCACTCCTCCATGGCAGTGGGCTTCCTGTATTACATGTTACATTCTAGCTAGTACTTGCTTTGTTGACTACTTACATTGAGAGCTTTAATTCCTTTCCGTCCTCCTCTGCCCAAGTCCTTTCTGACCATAAACCAGCCATGTGTGTTCTTGAAAGTAGATTATGACTCAGCCAGCCTAGGGAGGGACAATCTTACCCTCGGGAGATTTTCCGAGGTTCCCCTTAATGGAAATTGGTCTACCTGACCTCATGGTGAGGAGCCCTGGCGTTGTAGGGGTTATGAGTTCGGCTGCTAACCATAAAGTCATGAGTTCAAAACCACAGCCATTCCATGGGAGAAAAACAGGGCTTCTACTGCCATAAAGAGTTACAGTCTTAGCACTGAAGCTACAGCTTAGGGAGAGGGACATGTCTGATCAGAGCACATGGAAGCAAATGAAGGGGGAGGAAGAGAGAGTGGAGGACATCCTGGCCTACCAAGCCTTAGGACGATATCCCCGCTCAGAGCAGCCAATGCAGAGAGTACCATACAGCCATCCCCACTATGAGACACAACATCCATAACTGACCCATAGCCCTACAGGGGACATCACTGGATACAGTGTTGGAATTGCGCTCCGTCTGAACCCACCACTAGGAGGCAAAATGCTAAAGGGCGCGCAACAGAACAGCAAGGGGAGCAGAGCAAGTCCCGAGGTAATACCAGAAATAGGCTTTGGGGCCAGGTGTGGCACCCCATCAGACTGGAAAACACTCCTAAATGTCAAAAAACAGACCTTGAACTATTTACAGGCATTTTTTTTAATCATTGGTTTTTTGTTGCTTTGTTTTGGTCTGGCTTGTTTTTGTGTGTATTATCTCTGCAGGTCTATATAGATAAGATAGGCTGGATAAACAATCTGGAGGAGAAAACAAGAGAACCAATGGCTGGAGTAGGGTGGGTGAGGACATGGGAGAGGGGCAAGTGGGGGAAAGGAAGGGTGTTAACAAACCCAGGGACAAGGGAACAAGTGATCCAAAATTGGTGGCGAGGAGGGTGTAAGAGGCCTGGTAGGGCTTGATCAACGGCAATGTAACTGAGAGGAATTACTGAAACCCAAATGAAGGCTGAGC